TTAAAATAAATTTTTAGACACTCTGTATAAGGTAGTATTATTTTTATTATTGCAACACAATAACTGATCAATAAATAAACTTCATTAAATATTTAGTATTAAAAACATTGATACCCTTGGAGAAATGAAGCTTTAAAATTTTTACTGCAATTTCACAAAATTGAAAATATTTCAAAAACGGTAAGGTTTAAGTATAATAAACCTTAATCAAATTTACCTTTATTTTAATCGTAGAAACTAAAAATGTAATAATATATAGGGTTATGTTCTATTTAAAAAAATACAACTTTGATATTTTTTATTTATTTGGGACACTCTGTATCTTGTAAAAATATTTTTAAATTGTAGCTCTAATAGTCCTTCAACGAACCCCAAACTTACACTTTGTAAAAATCTCATCGTTTAGCTACAATACTCCGTGTCGTATGTGGTGAACAACCCTGTATTGTCCGAATTTGTCATGAAAAAAATCATGAAAACCAATATAACGTCGAAAATGATGTCGTAACTGCCAAGGATCGAAATAAACTGTATTTTCGATTTTATGTTGCCTAGGTTAGGTGTATAAAATTTAACCCTTAAGTACTAACACCCCGTCTCACAGACGCAAAGAACTAGCTGACATATGACATCTCCTCTCCTCTCCACTTCTAATTATCATCCAACTATGTAATTTCAATACGCATCAAAACAAGTTAAAGGCCGGCAGGGCAATTTGCGAAAGTGTGTAGTTTTCGAAATATTTTAGTTCAAACTGTCGATGCCGTCTGACAGACGGAGTGTTAGCGTTAGCGTAAGTTTTTTTTAAATTTGTGGAATGAATCAAGAACCTAGTAGCTCAAAACATGTAAAGTATGGCAAGAAAGATTACAAGGATACTCTTCTAAAGTGGTTTGAAGGACTGGCAGCGATAATAGCAAAATAGTGACAAAGAATCCGAATGTAGCGAAAATTTTGCCATAGAGAGCGATCATAATTCTGAATTCAAATTAGAAGGTAAAAAAAACGGTTTTTAACTAATATCTAATGGTATGTAGCTGTGTATGTTTTGATATAGGTGATGAAAATATGGATGTGAACGATCAGTAAACTAATATCGAAGAAAGTGAAGAGAACAATTTGTTTGGAATGCGCAAAAAAGTGTGTAGGGAACAAGCCCATCTTTAGGCATTGTCATTTTTTTATTCTTTATATTTTCTTTTGCTTTTTTGTGCTTAATAGATAGGTTTTTATATGCTAAATATAATAATCAATATATTTTTTCATTTTCCTTTCGCTTTTTTTTCTATCTCGATGAGAAACAAAGATATGTCAAAAATCCAAAATTAGTACTTTTATTTCAAAAATATAAAACATGTTCGCATAATATAAGCATTAGATATTTTTTTCCTGTAGTTTTAATGCTAATGACTCACTCCACTTACAAAAAATCAGTTAGACACGAACAAAATATGATTTTTTTTAATGCGTCTCTCAGACGGTCTGTTAGTATAGGCGCGACTATTTCAATATGTTAGTACTTAAGGGTTAAAAAAAACATAATGCTGCATAAAATCGTAAAATATTGGCTATTTTACCTAATAATATTAAAACATACTATTTTACATTATAAAAAATCAATATTTTTAACTGAGTATAAAAGAGATTAATCAATAATTTTATAATTAGAGTAATAATTCTTATGTTAATGATGACAAAAAAGCGAAAACAGTGTCTAGAAAGTCTGTATCATAATATCTTTCATGTACATTATAATTTTCTATGTTTAAAAAATGCAATAACGACAGGTTTATACCAATAACGACATGTTTTTTGCTAATATCACAAAATGGATTCGTTTTGTTTGATCCCTTCTCAATTATTAAAATAAACGTACACACTTATAGAAACTAATGAATGTTTATATTAGGTTTGCAATCATATATTTGAAGACTTTCCATCAAACTGAATGAAAACCTCGTGCATAACATTTTTTTAAGACGTGTTTTTCTTTCTTAAACGGCCCGATCTCGAGAGCGATTTCAAGAGATTCTCGAGAAATGCCGATTTCCCGAGAGCACCGTGTATATTTTCGCGGGACCTCCTACTTAACGCTTTTGCTATAGAGAAATATAGAATCAATTGTGTCTCTCTTTTATTTAGTTTCTCTGTGACTTTCGTCTCCTTTGACTCGTGCTGGAGACCGCCTGTAGACCGAGCGCTCCCAAGACGAGGCGAGAGACACCGAGGCAAGACGAGAGCCCCAAGTACACACTCGCCTCGCCTGGGCCTCGGGTCGTCTCGGCGAGTGTGTACTTGCATCATAATGATTCTAATTCTGAGCTGGCAAATGAGCTAGATGCTTTACCTAGACCGTTATTCAGAAGCTACAAACTTATCGATGAAAATTTACTTCCTAGCACACAACCAGAGGATATTGGTACACATATATTATAGTATCAAGTTTATTATAATGATTTTCTTAGTTTTAAATCAAATGATTTTTGGTGTTTGCGCGATCGTGCCATCGTTACCACTTTTCATCTCGCGTCTCGTGTGTCACGGCCTTGAATTTTTACTCCCAACGCGCGTAAAGAAGTTTCATTTCAAATAGAAAAAAAAACAACCACAAACTTATAAAGAAAATATGTCTAGCTCTTGAGTGAAGGTATTTATTTAATGTTCACGAACTAACATTTCTATTTTCCTGAGAATTTCTAACTAGTTTTGTGGTAAGGTTAGTTCAAATAATTAATAAACTGACTGCACGAAAACATAGCTAAACGAAGTATTAATTAACTTCTAGTAAAACTATAAATTTCCAGAAATTCTCCTAAATATTGTACTGACTTTCTTTTGAACGTAATTTGAAATAGATATAATTAGTTTACTTAAGTGTTTTTATTTTGCAGATATAATTAGTGTTATTGACAAGAATGCATTGTGATTCTTGTCTTTTTTTGAATTTAATTTGACACTATTCTGTTTAATTATTATTAAATTTTTTGTATATCACACAAGAAAAAAAAATGGTGTGTCGATAGATTGGATCAAGCACCAACTTGACCGTGCACGACACGCGTCACTGTGACGGTTAGTTTTGACGTAAGAAACGTCAAAAGTTGATGTCGCCATGAGAAGTTTCACTTCAAAAATGCGCACATAGTGCACCCACAATTTTTTATGTAATTTATTATGTATTTTTAGTGTACATGGTGGCCCATCGAACACGTTCCGCAAGGCATAACGGCTAGGGTATTTAAAAAATGAAAAATTTAACTTTTTTTGACAGTTTGACAGTTGTGCCCATTAACTACACCGTTCAAAAAGAAAGTACACTCATCCGGAATACACACATTAAATATTTTTTTATTCACTCATAGTTTCACATCGGCTTCGTTGAGTTCTTGTACCAACTGAATTTTGTACGGGTGGAACTTGTGTTTTTTTAATATCCTTTTGACACTTGTACGATTCACGCCGGTCTCATTGGCAATGTTTCTTGTACTCAGCGTACTATCCATGGCAACTTGGCCCAATACGAATACTTTCATAGCTTCATTTACTACAGGATTTTCCCTCTGCCTCTTTCTATTCATAACGGAATCAGTTTCGCGAAATTTTGCTACTAACTAGCGAACAATTTTGCCATAATGGTGTTTGTCAGGCAAGGGCGTAGATAAGGGGGGGTACTGGGGGACAGTACCCCCCCCTGACGCTTGACGAGATACGAGAATTGAAATAGTCATTGACTATGAAAGGATTTTTTTTAATTACTATCCGACATATAAGAACACTTTGTATGCTTTTAATTATGTTGATTTATCGTTTATAATATGTTCGACCTAATTAAAAGCATACAAAGTGTTCTTATTGGCCAGGACAGATTAGTGGGGTTAACTCTAATCAATATCCATAAAGATATTGAAATAAATGTTGATGCTGTTATTGATAGGTTTTCCAAACAGCGTACTAGAAAACTTGATTTTGTTTTGTAGTTTTATTTATAGTTTATAGTTTTTATAGTTTTTTTTTTTGATAGTTTAGAGTTTTTATTTATAGTTTATAGAAAATTAACTAATAAACGTCGTTGTTTCATTTTTGTTTATGTTATTTACAAATCTATATTTTAATTTTTGTGTTATGTTTTTATATCTTTTTGAAGACAAAAAAATCGCCGTCGTTTTAATTCGACAAAAAAATTCCGACAGTGATTTTTTTTGCGACTTAATCATAGCACCACCCCCATAGCATACACCTATCTACGCCCCTGTTGTCAGGATGGCATTCATTGAATATCTGCGCAATCCGATTGCTACATTATTTTTAAAATAAAGTTCGATTATTTCCACTTTTTCTGCAAGTGAGTACACCATAATTGTTAAAAAGTTTAACGATATTGAGAAGAACTTCAACGCACAAGTCACAGAACAGCTATCTAGCAACTACCGCACCTGATCGTTCAACCTTGTGGCAGGTGAAAAAATGCGTAAACATCTAGAAATAATAAGAAAAAACAGCAAATTGGTCGAAGGAATTTATCCTTATCATTTACTCAAAAAATAAGGTAAATGTTTAAATAAACTTTTCAAATTTCAATCCTCTATATTTTCTCAATGACTCGACCGATTTTCAAAAACGAAGCCGGAAAGTATAGAGAATAGAAAGAACCTCCCTTACCTCCCTTCCCATTGGAAAAAAATTGGGGGATGACACCCCGGCTTAGAGGGTTGAAGATTTTGAAATCATTTTTGGGGCAAAAGTTCCCTCACAAACAAAATTGACGTGTTTTTGAATTTTCTGAAAAAAAATTACCCTGGCCGTTATTCCTTGCCGAACGGTTTTGATAGGCCACCCTGTATAATTTATATATATTTCCAACAAAACATTATAAATTTAGCTAAGCATACACCTACTTGGTGTTGCAATTTCTATGTCACAGAGTATAGTTTTATTTCATTGACTTAGATAATATTTAGAAATTCTATTTCACTAAAATTATTTAAATTATATTGTTACAGAATAGTTGAATTGGCTCGTGGAGTGACGTTAGGGACAAGATTAACCGGCGCAGGTTGGGGTGGCTGTACCGTATCCCTAGTACCACCAGAAAATGTAGACAAATTCGTAGATCTGTTGATCGAAGAATTCTACAAACCTTTGGGAATAAAAGAGGGTTTTCAGTCATTAGTATTCCCCACTACGCCAATGGAAGGTGCTCGCATTTACACTCCGAAAAATTAAACATATACCCGCCTATGACTTTTATTGTTTTTAATCTTACTACAGTTTATATTTTAATAAACTTATTTTATATTAAATTTGTGTTTATTTTTTTACAACCTTTAAGATAAAAACAAAAAAAATACATAATATTAAAAAGTTGGTCAAAGAATGCCTAGAGAAGCTAACGAAGAAATTTCTCAGGACCTACGAGCGTGAAAAATCAAAGATTTTCCTTGATTTAAGTAAGAATAATTTTTGGAAAGTCACGGTTTTTTTTCAATGTTTGATCAATGAACTGTTTCCTCATTGAACAACTCAGTAGATTGTAGCTAAAAAAACCACGGTTAGTGCAGATCCTGTGGGGAAAATGGGGAAACACCAGGATACCTCATCACTGAGTACTCAGAGACGACAACCATTCATGCCTTTAATTTTTGTACGATAGATATGGGAAATGGAGAACCAACCTCTGCTAAACCGTCTCAGATACTGGCTTTTATCAAAGCCCTGTAACTGTATGATGAGTTATAACTCAAGAAAGGGTGATTAACTTGCCCTCTCTTATACAATATAAATATTTATTTTCTTAATGTTGTTTTGTTTACATTTTTTTTATATGTTCGTGGTTTCTCTATTAAATCATTTAACATACTGTAATTAAGAAAGTTTCAACACGTTATATTCGTTTCATCACAAATATTTACTCGTATTTATTATTCTATATAATAACGCTGTTAGTTAATTACACCGAGTTAATTAATTATAATTAATTGTATATTGACGAAGGCTCTTTACAGAGTGTTTGTGTACATACTACCACTAATCGAAAAAAAAACGTTACAGTAACCTTTGAAGTGAAAATCGATATAGTTTCTCTGGGAGCGATGGCTGTATATTACTTATTAAAAATTGACTAGTTCCCATCAGACTGACAATCATAATAAGTAGATCTTTAGTAAAATTTATTTTTGAAAATATATTTGTGTCAGAATCATTTTTTATCAAACCTGTCGTTATTGACATAAATTAAACATGTTGACTAAATAGTTATTAGACTGGAATTGTAAATTTAAAATGTTTTTGTGTCCAAAGTTCAACAGAAACTGTTTTATTGTCATTTTTTCGAAGAAAAATTTATAATTAATTAAAAAAAATAAAAAGTTCCCAAATTTATCATTTCAGTCAAATAAGTATCTATTCAACACGTTTATTTTTTGTCAATAATGACATGTATTGACCATTTCCATTCTAAATATCTAGAGAACGGTAGCTCTTAGCGATTTTTACCAAGAGATATTTTTACGTAAAAAATCATGGAAATGTATATTTAGTAATAACGATGTAAGCTCAATATATTCAGTCACAGTTTTGTTGTCGAGACCATTTGCGTTCAGTAATTCGTTCAAGTAACACTTGGGAACAACGAAGATACATCAAAGGAGACCAAAATTTCACCTTCATGCAATGTTATATCTTTAATTTTGTTAATAAATTCAATGTTATTTTTAACTGCGAAAGAAGGTTCATGATCAGGTAAATTTTCGAACTCCCCTGATAACCATTTTGCCAAATTATAAGTCGGAGAACCTACAGCTGAAACAATTGGGCGCATAGACTTGTCCGGCTTATGAATTTTTGGCAAAGCATACAATTTTGGTAATGAGGGATTGGATACTTGCAATTTCCTCTTTAAAGAAAGATCAATAAGGGTGTTACATTCTTTTAGTTTTTTTAACGTCTGCTACCATCTTAGACAAAGGATTCTTTTTCAAATTTATGTAGGGGCCATTATCGATTAAGTTGTTAACCTTATCGTAATAGTCTTTTTTATCTAATATAACAACCTAATTTTCCTTATCAGCTTTTAGGTAGAAACAATCTTTGTTACGCAAACTCTTGACAATATTGTGCTCCTGGTTAGATTTTAATGATTTACTTGAAACGATATTTTTTGATAACTGATTTCTACAAGCCTCTCTTGTAAATACTTTAGAAGCCTCGGGCAAGTGCTGAATAGCAGTTTCAACACCAACGACGATTTCCTCCAAAGCTATAAAAATAAACTCAAATTCAACTTTTGTTAGAGTTATCTCAAATAATCAATTTATCAATCAATCAATTCTTCATCAAATGAAGGAACATCTCGATAACACATAAGAGAGGGTATTTCAAACATCTCGCAAATCTTTGTGAACATAATTTTTTAATAAGAAATTACTCAGTATAATATGGGTATATAACACATATATAAAATACATTATATTAACTTATAATTAGTTACTAGCATGCAATCCGCACAACTCCTTTAGTTTTGCTGGTCATTAACAATATTTAATTTGTTTGTTGACGATTTCTATGTAGACTAGATAATTAGTTCACAGAATATAGTTTAATTTAATTGATTTAATTGTATAATAATTGATTAGGTTTTCTTCATCTAACAAAAATAGAAATTAAAACCATTTTTTGCAAGCATGATCGATAGTTATTAATTGATTCCATGGATATGTTACATTGTATTATGTATATTTTATTTTTTAAAAATTAAAAAAAATAAATGCCTTTATTCTCAAAAAAATTTTCAATTTGTAGACAAAGGTAAACTAAACAAACAAAGTAAAAAAACAAGGTACACAAACAAACAAACAAAAGATAATACAAAACATTATACAAATAATATTGTCAGTCTTATTATTTAAAACAAACATTTATAAATGTTTACAATGTCAAAGAACAAAAAAATGAAAACAACATTCAAAAATATTTAGCTGGTTTATAGTAAATATCAATGACCTCTAAATAAATTTATTTCGAAGTCATTAGTAAATATAGCAATAGGAAACATTAGACCAGTGTTTACAAGATCAAATTCAATTTTCAAAATATAATCCATTCACAACGTAGAAAGTCTTGTCTAGTAAATAAAAGTTCAATGGTTTGCGAAATGAAGAAAATGATGTTATGGATTTGATTTCAAATGGCAGGTGATTGTGCATTTTTTTCGAGTTATGTAATATTGAACTTTTAACTAACTCTGAGCGTGGGGTAGGTAGATATAGATCTTGCTCCGCGTTCCTGAGTGGATAAGTGTGAGACGGCCTTTCTTGAGAAGCTGATACATGCTTACGTATTAGGCAAACGGATTCAAATATAAATAAGGAAGGAATAGTTAATATTTTTAATTTTTTAAAAAAGTCCTGGCAGTGAGTTCTGCTGTTTAGTCCCAGTGAATATCGAATAACTATCTTCTAGAGCTTGAAAACGCGGTCAAATTGAGTCGCATAACATATTAAACATAGATATGGACAAACCCATTACAACCTCTGATTTTTCGTCCTTAATTATAAGAGGAAAATCAAAGATTTTCTCAATTGACAATGATATGGGCGAGGACCGCGGTTCGAATCACGCTTAAATAAAGTAGACCATGTCCAGATTAGCATTAGCATCAAAAAGAGACGTAAACTTAACACTTACTTTACATTTTTATCCAAATTTTTCTCTAAATTTCCTTCTATTCTCTCTAGAGAATCAATCCAAAGTTTTAGGCAGGTTTTAAAAGAAAATTGTAGAATATTTATCAGAAAATTTGACTTTCAAGCTGACGTAAATATGCGAAAGGGCCTGGCAAACTTCCTAAGGGCGCAGTGGCTCGTTCTTTGCCGATCAAATAATTGATTAGGGACTGTGCCCGTGTACTTCGGGCTTCTTAGTTGTCACCGTACAGGAATATCTGGATGAAGTTGTTTAAAAGTGGAAAGAAAACTCTGGAAAAGGCACAGAATATGCTTTTAACGTTTTGTAACGTTCAGATAATGAAATTAGAAAGTAATACTGTTAAATAATAATGACACTAATTTCGTAATGCGTCTTGGCACAAAACTCGCACAAAACTTATAATTGTTCACTTTATAGTTGGCGGAATATTATATCTTTTATCTACGTCAGTGAGTTAAGAAGCTCTTAATTCACGCATTTTGAGTGAGTTAAGAGCTTCTTAACTCACGCATTTTCATTACCGCACTCCTTGTTTAGATGACTACCAAAGTTGTTTTATATATTATTATAGATGTTGCTAGACCGGAACTTTGTTGAAATATCTAAAAGAATGTTTTATTGAAAATTAACAGTGTTTATCTTTAGTTTTCCTCGAGAATAAGAGATATAGCCACGGCTTGAAGGACATGCGCGCCCGTTGATTTCAAAACAGACAGAGTTTCCGTCGAATTTCCCGCACAGTTCCGACGAAAATCAACGACGAGCGGCCGGCTTTCCCGCTCTCTCGGAAAACTTTCGAAACGCTCGACGCAAAGAACCCGTAGAATTTGTATGATTTTCTCGGTTGTATTTTATTTGTTCGAAAAAATTATGGTTCCTGGAGCTGATTGAAGTTGACGTGGGTAAGTTATAACTTATTTTACTATAATTTATTTAATTTAAAATAAAATGTGTTGTGGGATTTTTTTTCTTCATGCTAGTTCAAGTAACTTTTTAATAAGGTAATTTTCTTATTGAATACATTGAAAATTGTCTGAGAGACAAGCATTTTTTTTTGGCTATCCGTAAAAATATGGCAAATTAATATTCAGTATAAATATTTTATTTTTATTTTAATAATGATGATTTTAAAAAAAAAATAATCTACAGTCTAAAATATTTTATTTAAATCACTAACAAAATTATAAATCTTCGTAATTTATAACTTTTTTTATATCATAATTAAATTTAATGTCTTTAAAATGTTGACTTCAAAACGTGACTAAAATTCAATCAAAAAAATATGTCGTGTTTAATCAAAATGTGATTTATGTTTTTTAACGCTTCTAAATTTCAAAATTATTATACAGGGTGAGTCTTAAATAAGTGCAAATATTTTTAATATTTTGACCCCAAAAACAAAATGATGAGGTTATTATCGCAATAATTTTTTTTTGAAAATATGGAATTTTTTTTTGGATTTTTTTAGTGAAAAAACATCAATTCTTGATAAAATTTTAATAATTTTTAAAATAAGGCATATGTTTATAGAAACCCCTATATATACACCATATTTTTTACATCCTATTATATTTATAAGTAGGTTTATTGCAATTTTTTCAGTTTAATTGCATATTATTTTATAAAAACAATCTATTTTTCTATTTTCATCGTTATTGAAATGTAATAAATGCAATTAACCCGGAAAAAGGAAATAATAACTTATTTATAATAAATAATCTGATAAATAATTGCATTAAATCAACAAAAAATATAATAATATATTAAACACCCGTGAACTTCGCCCAATACTCACAGTGCAGTCAATAATGTATCAATTTTATTGATGATTCACAAAAAAAAAATAAGTAAAAATATAGGTTCAATAATCAACAAAAAAATTAAAAAAATACTGAATTAGAATGCCTATAACAATAGGTTTTGTATAACAATAACTCTCCATATTTTTATGGCAAATAAAATAATTTTTGCTATTGTTTACTGAAAAGTATTTTTGTATTTAAATGTATTATTCCATCATCAGCCTATAATAAATAATGTAGGAATTATTATATTGAGTTAGAATAAAATACCCAGGCACAACAGATTTTTTTATATTTTTTTTAAGCTGAAATAAGCCTTAAAAATCGATATATACTGTAAAGTTCGCCGATATAATGGTAAAATCCTTTTTGCTGTGTTCCTGTTTACACATACGTGATTTCATGGAAATAATATGAATTAAACGGTAAAACCGAACTAATACATCTTTTTCCAAAAAAAAATAAAAATTAGAGAAATATAGTTCATACCAAATAAACTTTTATAACCCACAAAATTCTAAAAGTTACTGGTTTGTGGAAGTATGCTTTGGAATTAAATGAGACAATAGAAAATTTCATTAATGACTTATATTTAATTAACAATTATAAACAATCAATGTAATTGGCTGTGACAGTCTCGATTATATGAGATTAGATATGCAACTGGAATACTTAAGTGTTTCTGCTTCGGTTGGTTGGGAGAAAGGCCTCACCCTCTTCGCTGCACTCGTCCGCTGGTGGGTAGCGTGATTGTCCGGCTAACGTTGGAGAGCTTGTGAGACTCCACCAGTCTCAGTGCGTGAGCTACTTATGGGGAGGGTCAATTCTCGTATCTTCCTAGAAGATAACAAACAGCAGTATTCTACTCAACACAATTGATAAGTACCCAGTTTTGTGGTGGTGTTCTAAATTACCAATTGAACTGTCTGTTGGTTGCCAATGAAGGTACAATAAAAATAACTTATGATTAAACAACATATTAGTGATTCAAATAAACAATAATCAATATCTAAATCCAACTACTAATTATTATAATAAAAATTATAATTAAAATTTAAAAAAGAAAATAGGCAATGACAGTTTAAATTAAGTTATAATTGAAAAGATTGTCCAAATTATTTAAAGAATATAAAGAATATAAATATAGAATTATAAAAAAATATAAAAGAAAAATATTTTGCTCTCTCTCTCTCTCTCTCTAGAAAATTCCAGACCACCACAATCACTTCGGTACAACTTGAAAAAAAAATTATATTGTTACAGTAAATTATTTGATTTAATTTGTAGACACGTGTAAAAAGAATAAAAAAAATGTAAGATAAAAAACTAAAAATATATGAAAATTTAAATTAGAACAAAAGTTAATACTAAAATGCGATATTAAAAGATAAATTAAAAAAAAAGATAGAACGATAAAGGTAAATAGAAAGGTAGGATAAGATACGAAAAACGATAAATGCGGCAATTCGACAGATAAAAACTAAAAGAAAAGATATGTCACTCCAGGAACAAAGATAATGCATCCGCCAAATAAGATAAAGATAAGGTAAGGTAAATTTGGCAGATGAGGTAAAGATACGTTCCCTAGAGTGACCCAAAACAACAAAAACAAAAATCTATCTGTCGAATGGCCTGCCAATAGACACCACCACTACAGGGTCCAGATAAAACAAGAGTTGCCTTCTGGCAAGCAAGGATTCGTTGAAGGTGACATAAGTCGTATAATATAAATATTATAAAAAATCCTTACTTACCAGAGTCCCTCCTGGTTCGTCTCTGAGAGTACTCCTGCAGTGATTGATTCTATTCATGAACACCTCTGCGGGTTCCTGTTCGACAGCTTGCGTGTCAGTACATAAATAAGAAAGATAAAAATAATTCGTTCTAAATAAAAGTTAAAGGTATTAGAAAAATTTTGTGTGCTACTAAGATAAGAAGATAAAGAAATGATGATAAAAAAATTAACTGTGAGATAAAAAGATAAAATAGAAAAAGGAATTTAAAGTTACAAGCTAATTAAATAATTAAATCAAATAATTAACTCATATTAGATAGTAAAAAATGTTTAAAAAAAAACTAATAAATAATTTCCAAGTCGTACCTCGTGCCGGTGTCTGGAAAAAAAACTAGGTGTTTAAGCAAAGAAGATCGAGATGAGAGAGAGTGATTTTCGGCAAAACAAGTCCCTTTATAGAATTCTCCCATTCATTTAGACATGCGTTAAGTACCAAATGTCAATATAAAAATTTATAATTAATAGTAAAAATAATACATACGATAAAATTTCCTACATACCTTCAAAAAAAATGTGTGTAACAATTGCATCTTAATTATTTAACACTAAACAAAATATTAATAATAAACCTTCGTTTTCATTAAAAATAAACAAATTATTATCGGTAACCCATAGGCAACCAGAAAATATATAAAATATTTAAACAATTTAAACTAACAACCATCGCTAGTGATGTGTACCACTATCGAGGTTCCGCAAAAAATCGATAATATATAAAAATATTTTCGTTACACTTTTAGTCATGTGATTAAGCTTGACCGGCACAGCGTTGCCCACTTTTGCATATTTTCTTTTAATCAAAATATATTAGGAAGCAAAAATAAATTAACTATAAATATATAAACAGTTATTATTTACATCAACAAAACTCACCTTCTTAACAGCAATTAAGACACATAAAGGGCCATTACTACCGGTTTTCCGTTCAAAATGTTCTAATAAAGTTGCGATGAGTTTTTCCGGCTATATTGATCTTGTACACTTCGCACTAAAACAGGTTCTAAAAAGAACAATGTTCGACTGCAATGTCTGCTAGTAAACATTTTTACGCTTAAATTATCACATTACTATTTATTTAAACTAAAAACTAGCAATACAAAACTAAACTGTCAAAACGAATAACAATGTCATGTTCACACCTAGAAATCCACCAATAGTAATTAATAAAATAATCACTATCAAAGAAAAAAATTTAGTGCTTTAATTTTTTGCCAAATCAATTTTTCAAAAGTTACAAAACATTTTTATTAATGTCAAGTAACGTTAAATAAAAATCGAGTATTTTTTTTTGTATATCTTCATTAAATTTTTCTGGAACATCCGGAAAAGATAAGAGTTGTAAAACTTGTTGTACGACTCTTGACAGATACTTCAAGAATTTCTTAAGAACGTTCTTCGAAGCATAAGTTTAAATGCCGTAAATATTTATATTAATCTCCAACGTTATAGCGTGCTTTTGAAAAATTTAAATCCCAATTCAAGAAAATAAGATTTAAAAATCTTAAAAAAATTAATACAAATATGTTGAAATACCTTGAGAATTGACCCTAACAAGCAGTGGGCGTTAAAATCCAGTTATTAAGTTAAAAATTGTGCTCCCGCTTTTTTAATTTTAAGTTAATTACAATCAGAGCTTCCTTTCAAAAGCTCCCTTCTCAGCTTTTTCATTCTTTTTCAGCTACTTTACGTCCTTTTATTTTTTAGGTACTCACTGATTTCTCCTTATTAAATACCCTCATAATTACTTCTTTAAAGGGATGATACGTTTAATTTAAGGCATTTTAATTAACTTAAAAATAGATGTCAATATTTTCGAAACGTGTATTAGTTGTTTGTTGATATTTTTTAAGGATGCAGATCCCATTTTAGAGAATTGTCTACAATAAGCCCTAAGAATCTGTAAAATTCTTAGGACTTGTAGAGAATTCTCTAAAATGGGACATGCATATCGACGCTTTGTCAAAAAAAATGAGCTTTGCCTGTTTTGCATTAAGATCTGTTTCTAGTGAGCTTAACTTTTCAGTGGCTAGAACTGTTTATTATGCACTTTTTGAGTCGCACCTCAGGTATGCCTTTCCATTCTGGGGTACGTGTTGTGCGACTCAATTTGACCGTATTTTCAAGTTCCAGAAGAGAACTGTTTGATATTGACTGAGACTAAACAGCAGAACTCATTGCCAGGACTTCTTCAGACAACTCTTCCTTCCTTATTTATATTTGAATCCGTTTGCCTAATACGTAAGCATGTATCAGCTTCTCAAGAAAGGCCATCTCACACTTATCCACTCAGGAACTCGGAGCAAGA